CTTCTTTTATCCTATTATTTGCTTGAAAATGTAATTTTTTTTTTAATTTGAAAGTGAGAGAGAGAGAGAGAGAAAGGAGAAAAAGAGTTCTCATCCACTAGTTCACTTTTCAGATTCTTGGGGCTGGACCAGAAGCTGTGAACCAAGTCTCCCACGTGTGTAGCAGGAAGCCCATTACTTGAGGCATTGTCGGCTGCTTCCCAAGGTCTGCACTTTCAGGAAGCTGAGATCAAACCCAGGCTCGCTGATATGGGACACAGGCACCTTAACTCCTCGGTTAGATGCCTATTCATACTTTATTATTCGATTGGCATGTAATATTTTTACATTTTATGGGATGCATTGCATTATTTCAACACATGTATACAGAATGCACTATCAAATCAGGTAATTAGAATTTTTTTTTTTATGTTTGGAGCTTGCAAGCTCTTTATACCATATGTAGTGTATTTTTTAAAGATTTATTTATTTATTTGAAAGAGTTACAGAGAGGCAGAGGCAAAGGCAGAGGCAGAGGCAGAGAGAGGGAGAGAGAGAGAGAGGAGCCTTGGGTGCCTGCACCTGCGTGGGAGACCCGGAAGAAGCTCCTGGTCCCCAGGGCCATTTCTGGTTTGCAGCTGTTGTCAGTCAGTGGGCCAGCTCTCTGGAAGCCGTGCTCCTTGCTGGTCTGAACAACCTCCTGATTTTTATTAAAAAAAAAAAATCAACCAATTAATTTATTTGAAAGGCACAGTGACAGAGAGAGGGAGAGGTCTTCCATCGGCTGTGGTAGGCCAAGCAGAAGCCAGGAGGAACCCAGGACTCCATCCCAGCCTCTCACGAGGGTACAGGGGCCCAAGCACTTGGGCCATCTTCAGCTGCTCTCCCAGGCCATCTTCAGGGAGCTGGTTTGGAAGTGGAGCAGCTGGGACTCGAAACAGCACTCCGACATGGTATACTGACATCGCAAGCTCTCTCTTTTAAATATTTATTTGAAAAGCAGAGAGAGCAAGAACTGCTCTTAGCTGGGGCTGGGCCAGCTGGAAACCTGGAGCTGGGCACTCCATCCCAATCTCGAACACATGTGGCAGGGACCCAACCACCTGAGTCAGTACTTGCTGCCTCCTGGGGTGCTCTTCAGCAGGAAGCTGGATGGGAAGTGGAGCAGCCTGGCTGGACTCGAACCGGCGCCCATATGGGATGCTAGCGCTGCAGGCCGGGGCTTTAACCCACTGCGCCACAGCAGCAGCCCCAGCCGCTCTGCTTTCTAAAACGCACAGTTATTCTCAAGCCCGCCTTACACGCTCAGCATCTGCCAGCAGACGATGCGTATGTTTCTGCCTCTTTCTTCATCCGCCAAGGGCTGGCCATTTTGCAGCTCCGGGGACCAGGTGCTCCCGGCTGTAGCTGCGCTCTCCTCGGAAGGTGTGATCTGGATCCATGTTTGGGTGAGCAGGAGGGATGTGCCTCCTGGGGACAAGCAGAAACCCCAGGCGTGGGTCACAGAACCTCCTCCACACAGGGGCAGGGGCCACTGTGAGACGGGGAAAAGCCGCTCCACACCTACGCTGCTGGTGGCCACAGCCCCGCCCCCAGGGCGGATGTCCGGTCTTCAAGGCCTCCTCTACAGAGTAAGCCTCGAATATAAACCTGGGCAGCTGGACCCAGTAAGGGGACCCCTCACTTGAGCTTTGTCTGCATGGCTGTTCCGGGCTCTCCCTCCACTACAGACCCCCCACCACAGTGTGACCTGCCCGCCCCCCCTTCTCTTGGTAAAACAGGAGCACACTGTGACAGCTGCCCAGTGACAGCTCCCGGCCTGCGAGCAGCGGGACTTCCCCTGCCCCTTCTTCACGCTCCCTCTCCACTTCCCCAAGGAAACACCTAGTTTGTGCTAAGCAGGAAAATCAAAGTGCATGGGTTAAAAGAAATCCCAGCGCAGTGGCTGCAAGCTGCAGCCACCCCCACCCCCACCCTCCATTACAAACCGTCACAGAGTGCTGGGAAAGCAGACGGGACTACAGAGGATGAGCAGAGGACTCTTACAGGGCTGGGCTGGGAGAGGGCTGGGCAGGGCCCTGGAAATTGGGGGGCGTGGCCACGTTCTGGAAGGCCAGGCCGGGAGGGAGGGGTGTGTGCGAAGCATGGTGGTGTGAGGCCTGTCTCCTGCTACCTGGCAGATGATTCATTATTCTCTGCCCTCAGGGCAGTCAGAGACAAGGCTGGGAAAGCAGCGTGGGGCTGCAGTGGGGGCCGAGCCTCGCCCCTCGGGCGATGGAGGCCACTGGCAGCGCCTCTTGGCTGCCCTGGGAGACAGGGGCAAGAGGCCAGGGAGGACCGGGAAGGAGGAAGCTAGGCGCCTCCGTTCACCTAGCCCACAGCACCTGGCCAGTGGGCCTGCTTCCTCCGCAGAGGCAACAGGGTCTAGAGCCCTGCCTGTGCCTTCTACAAACCACCCCGCGGGCGGGGCCTTGCCAGTGATCCCTGGATCCCAGGTGGCTTTGGGGATGCCCCCTCAGCTCCCAGACCCGATCCTTGTAGACTTTCCACAGCACAGCAGACCCGGAGGCCGAGGCACCTACTCAGATCTGCTGCTGATGGCTGTGAGGGGGCAGCCGGCGCAGAGCCTCCAGCTGTGAGTGCCTTCGGGGCCACCCTAGCTTCTGAACCGAAAGCCAGAAGCCCCCCAGGCAGTGGGCTGGGTGCTGAGCAGGGCTGGTTCTCTGTGGCCTGGCCATTTCTGCACAGCTGGGCTCTTTTCTAAGAGGACGTCTCGCTCTGGAGCTCCCTAGCTGCCGTGTGCACACTCCTCGCCAAGGAGCTCCCGCTGCCGCCAGATGAGGTGTGCATTCCAGCTCCGCCTCTGCATCTGCTTCCCTGGGGATGCTCGTCAGGACCACCCAGAAGGGCAGATGGCCAGGGTCCGAGCCGTGGCTGTGAGTGACGTGGCATCCAAGGTGAAGCTTCTTCGCCTGTAGCCTCTCCATGGGATCTGGGCACAGTCCCCAGTCTGGCTGTGGTGGGAGCAGCCATGCCGCACACCATCCTCCAGGAGGGAGGGCCCGGCACCTGGTCTCTTTAGAGCAGGGGTGGGGAGCATCGGGCTCACGGGCTGTATAAGGTCCACCAGATCATTTGGTCTGGCCCCACCAAGGCACCTGCAGGCAGGACTTGAAATCCAATACATTTATAGCAAATTAAAAAAAAAATCATTTATTTGAAAAGCAGAGAGACAGAGAGAGAAAGAGATCTTCCCTCTGCTGGTTCACTCTGTAAATGGCTGCAATGGCTGGGGCTGGACTAGGCGGAAGCTGAGAGCCTGGAACTCCATCTGGGTCTCCCCTATGGGCGGCAGGGGCCCAGTACTTGGGCCATCCTCTGCTGCTTTACCAGGCGCATTAACAGGGAGCTGGATTGGAAGTGGAGCAGCCGCATCCAACAGGGGATGTTTTCATTGCAACCGGCGGCTTAACCCGTTGGGCCACAATGCCAGCCCCAAGCAGGGGAATTTTTTGGTTGGTAATTTTGTATGGCTCACAAATGATGTTACAAAAGTTCACAGGGCCCTTGGCAGAGAAAAAGGCTCCTTGCCCCTGCTTTAGAGAGGGCGGAAGGAGGAGACCAGCGCTTTCCCCGTTCCCTATTTAAAGCAGCTTTGTTCAGACACTATGTTTCCCGGCAGTGCCCAATACAAACCACACCTTTTCTGGGGAGAGTGGGCCCCTTGCTTTCACAGACGCCTGTCCTAACACAGCCCAGGGGTCCTGGCGTGCAGGTAGGAGGCGCAGTGGATGGTACTGGGACAGGCGAGTGCTGGTCTCTCATGGGAGTAGCTGGGCAAGGAGAAGGGCCTGGATCAGGGTGGGGGGGGGGGGGAGCTGAGACATGCTCAGAATGGGCCAGATTTTACCAGTGAGGGGGATGAAGGAGTCGCTGGGGACCACCGTGGGTTTGCCGTGGCTGTCTGGGTGGGTAGGCAGGTGTTTACCCAGTCCGGGGCTTGGAGGAGCCCCAGGGAATCTGGGAGGAGAGTGACTTCAGCTCATCAACTTTCCACTCGGAGATGCCTGGGGGCCTTTGGTGCCTTCAGTCCTGCTGGCAGAGCCCGGGGAGGGGGGGGGGAGACCCGCAGGGGGCTGTGGCATCCCCTCTGCTCCCTCCCTGACTCCAGCCCCTGCTCCCCTCAGGCCCCCTCGCCCCGTGGCCTCAGGCAGGACCGGGCCAGCGCAGTCTGCAGGGGACCCGGCGGGGGGCAGGCTCTTAACACAGCGGGGGCCCTTTCCCGGGCCCACCCACTGCCAGCCTCAGTGCAGACACGCAGCTTCCCCGACTGGAAGGGACGCTGGGGGCTTGGCAGGCGAGCAGCGCTCTGACCACTCCAGCCTTGCCCTGCTCACGGTGGGGGAGCCTGCTTCCTCCCACTTCCGCTTCCTAAGTAGTGAAAGACCCCTTCCTAGGGGCAGCACGCCTGGCGCCTGCTCGCCGCGGGTCAGACCTGGGAACCCCTGTTCTTTTCGTGCTTCGTCGTAGGGCTAAGCGAATGGTCGCCATGGTGACGGCCGCTTCTCCGCGGCGTCTCGCTTTTCATTCTCTACATCCCCCTAACTGTCCAATTCACCCATCACCTGTTTAGGTCCCCGGTGGGGAAGTCTCTGCGTGCAACTACACCGATCTACACACAGTCACACTGCACAAAGTAGGCTGGTGGGCAGCGTTTTCCCACCACTAGAAAGACATTTAGATGGACTTAAAAAAATTCAAGTTAAACAAGATTCAATGGGGAAAAAAAAAAAAACAACTCGCTGCCTTCATGTTCTTCAAAGGCTTGTGAGCCGTCGAGGGGCTGGCGCTAACCTAATTATGTTCGCTTTAATGTGAAATAGCTCTTTGCTTGACAGTACATTTGCATCTCACCATCACGTGCAGATGCCTGGGACATCGATTTTTGTTTCCAGGGCTCCCTTTGAACATGAAAGTGTGTGTGTGTGTGTGTTTTTCACCCTGTGAGAGCAGCGATAAGAACGGATCGATAATTACATTGTTGGATAAAAATGAATATAAATTTTATTGAGAAGCAACACAAGCAACAATGTGGCGAAGGCACCCTGCGCAGCCACCAGTGCACACGACTCAAGGCAAATGCGACGAGAAGGGATCGCTCTCCAGCAGTCCCAGCTACTTGTTCCAAAGGAAATGCGAGCATCGGCCACCGCACACCACCTTTGAAAACCTTGCCGATGGCAATGCTGCTAGCCCTGTGTGTGCTGTGGGCTAACCTGGCACCTCAGGAACGGACGGACTGGGAGACAACCTCAGAGCGAGGTGCTGGAGTCGCCAGACCACTGGGAAAACCTTTCCACTGCTCAAGTCCTTCAAGGATTTCACAAACTTTCTTGGCCATGCGTCCCTCTCTTGCTTAACCACAGGAACTAGTTCTCTGCTCAAGCCTGCAAGCTTCAGTGAACCTGAACTTGCTCTTTCCTCTTGGTAGGCAGGGCGGAGCTTGTCCTATGGGGATGCACGAAGATGGCAATCGGGCTGAAAGCAGAGTCCAGCGGTGCTGGCGGCACTTCTGCAGCAAGCTGGGAACGAGTGTGCTGCACTTGTGGTTGCTCTCTGCCGCCTCCCTCCCTAGCCCCCTGCCCTGTGCTGGGCACCCCCTACCTCCAGCCCCGGGGGCTGCCATCCTGCGGCCTATTGGCACAAGCTCCCTGAGCTCAAGGTTCCAATCCTTCACTGGCACGGTGATGAGTGTGGTCAAAGCTGCCCCGTGCAGCCCTGTGTCTGGTGGTTCCATTGCAACAAGGGATTTCTGGGCAAAACACTTCTACTCCCCCACCTCATTTCACATCTCCTTAAGCGCCAGGCAGCTCCCAGGGCCTCCTCGCAGCTTGTGTGTGATGAAGATGTGCTCTGGGTACACATGAGGAAGTGCTGGAAAGCCACGAGAAAGCACCCAGTGATTTTTAACATAAACATCTCAAGTTTTGCATGAAAAAGCACCGGGGGTGACAAGCGCCAGCCTTCAGATTTGCAGCGCCGGCAGCTCCTCACATTGGCCACCAGGGGTCGCCCATGCCATTCCACCTGCTCCTGGGACGCGGTGGCCCAGGAAACAAAGAGGCGGCTTTGCGTGCAAACCTGGAGGATGCAATCCCGAATTTCCACCCAGAGCAGCCTGCGTGAAGAAATGCATGAAGACCGGACTTCATTTCATGTATTTCTGCGCCAGTGGGAAGAAAGGCCGGTGGTTTTCCGACCTCGCCTACAAAGGGGGTGCCTGGTTCAAGGGGGTGGGAGGGGCTGTGGACACCCTGAGGGTGTTTTGAGATTGAGTCTCCCTCTCTGGTGCTGGCCACAGCTCCTGTTTTGCCTGGTGGCATCCTCTGCACGCTGTCACATTCTGTTGAATTAGACTGTCCTTTAAAAGATGTACGTTGTCTTTGGTGGGCCTGGCCATGGCAGCCAGTGCCGGGCCCAGGAGCACAGGAGTCACGGAAGGCACTTACTAGTGTGATGAGACCCAGCTGCTCGTTTCCCTGAGGTGGTCACGCCTGCAGGTGTGAAGTGCCACGGTACTGGGTGGCCGAGCTGGACAGAGGGCGCCAGGCAGAGGTCAGGGCAGCTTCTGACCCAGAGGTGGATAGGCTATATCTGAGGCTTGGGCAGGAGGCACGGTGGCCCAAGAGGCAGTACTGGTTCCCAGGGACAGGCAGGGGCCACTGGGGACAGCTCTGTGTGCAGGGTGAGCCTCCCAGCCCACTCCCCTCCTTGTCCCGTCTGAGCCTGGCCACTGTTGCCATGGCAACACCAGTGTAAAGTGCATCGAAGGGCCAGGCAAGCCAGGGGGCCCTGAGCTGTCCCTGAGGGATGGCTCCCTCCTTAGAGGAGAGGAAGGGGAAAGGCGTTTCCTCAGGCACCGGGCATATGGTGGGGCCCAGACTGGCTTTGCCGGCCGGCTTCCAGGGAGCATCAGAGCCCGTCAGACGCGAGGGGGCCCTGTGTGGCTGTGGCCCCGCCTCATATAGGCTCCCCACCTGGGTCTCTATCAGGGGTAGCAGCCAGGCTCCCTGCAGGCAGGCCTGGCAGGGCCTCTGATGCCCCGAGAGCCTGGGGTGAACACCAACCCGCGGCCTGCGAAGGTCTCCGACTCTGAGGTCGTCCTCTACACCCGGGAGCGGGCACGGGCGCTTTTGGCAAAGTTCGGCTTGCCACATTTGCGGCTCCGCTTAGCGACGGCAGAGGAGCTCGGCCTCCAGCCAGCGGTGGGCGGGCCGGCTTCCTCCCCAACCATGCCTTCTTCCCTCCAGGGCCCTTGGAAAGCAGGAGGCGGCTACGGAAGCAGCGGTCAGGGCTGGGAGACTCGCCTAATTCTGCACTGGCCCAGAGCAGAGCAGTGGACTAGCAATGCAGCGGGGCTACCTGAAGGGGGCGCTGCAATTCAAGGACGGCGCGGCCCAGCCAACACATCCTTCTGCGGGCTGGCCGGGAGCCCTTGAACACCCTCCTCCGTGGGCAGTGTTCAGCTGGCCCCTGCTTTCCCGTGTCCGCCCTGGGGCAGCGGCAGCAGGAAGGGCTGGGAGAAGGCGCGCAGCTGGCGCTGGGGTACAGTTTACGACACCTTGGATTTACATAGCACCTTTTTCTCTAAAGGGCCTTTGCCTCTGTCCCATCACAGCCACGGCAAACACCTCAGCGCCCGCGGCGGAGCAGGGAGACCGAGGCAGAGGCCTGGAAGTGATTTCATGCAGACTCGGTGGCGTCCAGGGCTCTGTGCACGTCCCTGGGGGCCTCCCCCCAGCCCGCACTGGCCTTGGCCCCCAGGGCGGGCGAGGTGGGGTGGGGGTGCAGCCCTGGCCCTCACTGGGCGTTCACTCGGTACTTGAGGATGTAGGAGTAGAAGTTGTGGTTGGCGTTCTCCAGCACCATGACGTACACTTCCTGGCAGCCGGCCGTGTTGCAGCTGCCCTCCCAGTAGCCCTCGTGGCTCAGGGTCAGCGGCCACGTGTCCTGCCCCTTTACCAGCGCTTTGGCGACGCCGTGCAGCTTCAGTTTGAAGGGGACGTTGCGGTTGGCAGGCAGCACGCCCGACAGGGGCTCCAGCAGCTCATTGTCCTGCCCCCAGTTGCCGAAGCTCTCGGGGAACACGGGCCAGTTCACCTTGGTGTTGGTGCAGCACAGGAGGTAATTGAAGACAAAGACGTAGTTGCCCGTCTCCTGCCTCTTCTTGACGAAGATCTTGAGGGCGAACTTGCCGGCGTGGGGTAGCTGGACCTTCAGCTCCGTCCGCTTCTCCCGGTGCAGCTGGAAGATGTAGCGTCGCTGCATCTCCTCGGTGATGGGGCCGTCGTCGCCGTGCAGCGAGGCCAGGACGCTGATGCCCTCGTCCACGCCGAAGCTGACGGAGCAGCGCCCGTCGCGGGTGTGGATGATGGGGTCGGGGTGGGATGGCTTCACGATGCCCATCTGCTCCGAGAACCAGCTGGGGCCCACGGGCTGGTGCAGCTCGGCCGGCAGCCGGACGCCCAGGTCCACGTGGCTGCACTGGAGCGTGTACTCCAGCACCGAGCTGTAGATGTCCGAGTCGCCTTTGGCGAAGATTTGCAGCTTGTGGGAGCCCGTGGTGGGGGGGAACACCTCGAGCTTCATCCCGCTCTGCCTGAGGCTCAGCAGCCCGTGCTCCTGCTTGCCGTTGAGCATGAACATGAACAGCTTCGGGGCGCAGCTCTCGATGGTGATCGTGGCCTTCCCGTTCACTGTGGACAGGAAGTGGGGGAGGGGTGGGGTGATGAGAAGGGTCCAGCTCTGGCCCACAGGCCAGTCAGGGTGTGACGGACAGCTGGCTCCCAGGAGGAACAGCCTTGCCGCCGGCTCCCACCCCCGGGCCTCGTCCGCAGGCTCCTCCCTCCTGGCAGCTTTCCCTGCCTGCCCGTGCAGACACCGCCAACGCCTCCCCGCTGCCCCCCTGCCCCTCTCCCCATGTGCTAGCTGGACCTGGCCTCTGCCCACCCCCAAATCGTCGTGACTTCCTAGAAACACGCTCTCGGGCCTCGGAGGACCCGGATGCTGGCTGCGCCTCCTGCAAGCCCGCTCCTCCCACCCCGCCGACCCCCGGCTGACCTTCCCTTCCCTTTAACACTTAGTGCTGTCTCCTTTGTCTATGCTTTCTCCACTGTCTGCGCCACTCCATGGGGCAGCCCCACGGGGTGTGGCTGGCACCAGCAGACTGCATATCCCCTCCTGGCTGAAAGTCGGCTCTCACCTCCCGTCCTCTGCTACGCCACTGGCCCTGGCCCCTGCCCTGCTCCACCTTGCGTCCTCCCACAACGCTCACCTCTGCCCGTGGGGGTACGCGGAGGTTGGCTGGCCCCTCCCGCCCGCCAGCATCAGGGACCTCCTTCTGGGGGGGTCTTTCAGCTCCTCCAAGGCCACACTTTCACGCCCAAGGCTCCTCCAACCCGCTGCTCCCTGGCAACCTGGGAGAGTCCTCACCCCAATGTGCCAACCCTCAGGTGAGGCTGAGCCCTGGAGGCTCTCTCCTGTCCTGGCTGTAATTGATCAAGTGAGCATTTCTGAGCACTGCTGGGCTGTGGGCTCATAGCAGGGAGAGGCCTGCCCCCTCAGCCCTGCCACACCCCAGGGCCTGCCCGTGGTGCCGGGCACAGAGGTGAGAGGATGACTGGAAGACTTGATAGCAAGGCTCGCGGCCCCTCCCCCGGCCCATCCCTTTGCAGGGGCCACGACCTCCTCCACCCTCGCTGCCTCCCACCTTTGCTCACTGTCCCTGCACTCAGGGGCTCCATCGCCCCCTCCCCAGGTCCTTTTCCACCCCCAGTGGTTTTCCTCTTTCCCTTCCTTCTCCCCCATCCCCACTCTTAACGTCCCTTGCTACCCAGACAGATTCTCGCAATACGAGTGTGTACCATGCATATGGATAAAGTTTTAGATTACTGTAAATTAAGAAATCTGGTGTTTACATTTTCAGGCCTCTTGAAAAGGCAAACTCAACTCAGCAGCTTCAGTTAGATGCCGCAGGCCCGGTTGTTCCTTCCCCACGGGCCGACGGGCCACGACGGACGTGACGGGCTCTGAGATGTGGTTCTCAAAGTGAGGGATTCACACCAAGTCAGCTCACAGCAGCGACTGCCGGGCTTTGGTAGCTTTAGAGTGTGTGTACGTGGGGGGCAGTGGTGTTGTGCAGCAGGTTAAGCCGCTGCCTGGAATGCACACATCTAATACAATGCACTGGTTTGAGTCCCAGCTGCTCCACTTCTGATCCAGCTCCCTGCTAATGTACCTGAGAAAGCAGCAGAGGATGGCCCAAGTCCTTGGACCCCTGCACCCACGTGGGAGACCCGGAAGAAACTCCTGGCTCCTGGCTTCATCCTGGCCTAGCCCTGGCTGCTGCAGCCATTTAGGGGCTTGAACCAGCAGATGGGAGATTCTCTCACTCTCTCTCCCCCATTCCTTCCCACCTCCCTCTCCCCCCTCTTGTTCTGCCATCACAGGAAAGAGCTCAGCAAGTGAGTAGGGAAATGCTGTGGGGTGGCAGGGACCACACAAGTACGAATATGGGCCACTCCCAGGCCACCCAGTGCTTATTGCCAATTCGAGCTCAGGCTGCCTGTTCACACGGGGCTCCCTGGGGCAGGTGCGAAGCTCCCGCCCGCCTCTCTGAGCCCTGCAGTGTGCCCAGGCTGCCGGCCCAGCCTTGGGACGGGTGCTGGCACTCACAGAGGATCTGCTGGAGAAAGCTCCTCTGTGAGACCTCTGGCCACAGTGTCGGACCTGGGACCCTGGAGCCACGCAGCACGGGCGGGAGTGGCAGCAAACACCAGCCCGGGCCAGTCAGAGATAGCTAGGCTCAGCTCCATGGATGTGGCTGGAACAGACTGCCTCCTGCCCTCCCGAGGCTGCTGGAGCCCCCATCTAGGCTGCCTGTGTCCTCAACTCCCCTGTCCTCCTGCTACTTAGAACATGCTGGACTGGCTACTCACTCCTCGACTCGATCCTGGCAGCCCCTACCTAAAAGACCCCTTGCTGGTGAGACCCTGGGTCTGCAGGGCCCACACTGTCCTCACCATGAATGTGGGAGACCACAGCAGGCCACAACTTCCGGTGGGTCCCCGAGCCTGGAGGCTGTGTGTGGGCGGGGCCGGCACTGCCTGTGCGGTGTGAGAGTGACCCACCTGCGGGGCTCCAGTAAGAGGCCGGGCTGCAGGCCCCCAGGCAGCACCTGCCCCTCCTGACACACCCCCTGCATGGCTGATGCAGGCATGACGGGCTTGTCCTGCCAGGGTTCCCTGGGCTTTCGGGGGGCCGCCCGCCCCGCGGTTACCTGTTCTGATGACGGCGGTGTCCGGGTGGGCGCTGAGCATGCCCTTGTTGTAGAACTCGCTCTTGTGGTACATGTTGTTCTCGAACTGCCGCAGGGACTGGGGGGGCTTCAGCAGCTGCCAGTTCTTGTTGTCTGGGAAGTGGTCCTCAATGAACAGTGCGGGATGGGTGAGGAAGTAGAACTCGTTGTAGCTGAGCGGAGGACAAGGCGGTCAGCGGCCGTGACCCAGCTCTGCGGCAGGTGTGCGGGGGTGGGGGTGGGGTGGGCAGGGCTCATAGGGGCATCCTTGGGGCTCGCTCTGGCTGAGGGTTCCTGCTGATACCCGCATATGAGCAGGTGCTGTCTCTAGTGCTGGGTTCTCAGCGGTTGCTTCCAGATACGGGAGCTGCAGCACGTCTCAGGGCTCTTCCTGAGAGGCTCCTGGCTCAAGACTGTGGCCTGCTCTGAGCAGCCTTGGGTGTCCCCAAGAGAAGAGGCAGAGCTCTGCAGGGAGCAGCAGTGTCACCTGCAGGCCAGGGGCCCGGCAGTGGAATTGTGGACCGGCAGGGAGGCAGAGTATCAGAATTCGCCACCTCCACCCACCCCCATCCCTCTGTGCCTGGGCAGCTCTGCGGGGTGGGCCTGCTCCCTGGGGTCCAGCCCAGAGCTGGATCTCTGGAGGTGAGTGATGGGGTTCAGAGAAGACTGAGGTCCTGAGGCAGAGGGGACTTGGCTCGGCCCGTGGGGAGCCGACTTCAGAGAATCAGGTGTGTGTGAGCACACATACACACACACACACACCCAGCCGAGAGTAGGGTGTGTGCATGTGAGGCTTGTACTTGCACAATTTTGCTACCTGCAAAATTTCCAGAGAAGGAACCCGGTTCTCTGGATAAAAAGGAATCTGAGCAGCTGGTAGACATCCCGATCCACCCAGAGCGTTATGCGTGGCGCTAGGCAGAGCAGGGCTGGCGGAGCCCAGGGGACAGAGATGCCTTGGTGGCCTGTGGCTCTGCCAGCCTGCCTGACTGGGGCTTGTGGCTCCCAGGGACTCTGCACCACCAGCAACACACTGCCCACAAACCAGCCCCTTCCTCAGAGTCGCATGGGCTCCCGCTCAGACCACAGGGAAGGAAGTAGTAGGAGAAAATTCTAGAGTCCTTGCCTAGGGAGACAGTGAACGGGCTGCAGCCCGAAGGGAGCGCATGACATCTAAAGCGACTTGCTGGGGGCTGCACCACCCCTCCCCGCCCCCCTTTCCCATGTCTGTCTGCGGCTCAGGCTCCTGCCACCTCCTGCCTTCCCTCATGTGTGGCCTGTGGGCAGAGCTGGGGATACTTGGTGCTTTGGTGGAGGGAGGGGCGGGGAGTTGGAGGAAGAGTCAATCAGTGGAAGGGAAGGTGACCGAGAGGCCCGGGCTCTGCAGCTGGCCTGAAGCTGGCTCATGGCAGAGCCTGGGGCAGGGCGCGCACAGCCCGCAGCGCATCCAGGCCACTCACCTGGGCCTCTCCACCTGCTGCCTCCTTCAGCCTCAGCCCTCCGCAGGCCCTCCAACCAGACCACTCAGCAGCACGGAGACTCATACTTACAGGAAGGTAAACTTGGAGGTGGTGGTGTCCACCAGGCCGCTGCCCCAGGTGCTGTCCAGCAGGTGCCACCTCCCTTCCAGGTACACAGCATTCCAGGCGTGATCAAACTCCCCGGAGAAGCTCTGCCCGGTCTGGTAGCCGAAGCCCTTGGAGTAGCCGGGCACGGTCATGCACTGCACGCCAGCGATCCTGGGGGTGGGACAGGGGGCTGAGAAGGAGCTGCCCCCACCCCTGAGTCTCCCGCAGCCCCAGGCCCTGGCATGCTGCCATCTGTTAGTTCTTCCTGGCTCTCCTTCCTGCTGCCTCTCATATCCTCACATATACATGAGGGCATTCCCAAAGCTCATAGGAAAACAGAACTAAAAGGTAAGTTTATTTTGGTGCAAAAAATTTTGAATTCCATGCACATCATTTTCATAGTACATACTTGCATGAACCTAAAAGAAAAGAATCTATCATTTATTTGAGAGGCAGGGAGAGACAGACAGACAGACACACAACAGACACACACACACAGAGAGCTCCCATTCATTGCTCCACTCCCCAAATGCCTGAAATAGCTGAGGCTGGACCAAGGTCAAAGCCAGGAGCTGGGAACTTTTTTTTTGAGGATGGAGAAGGTTTATTAGTCATTATAATAAAAACTCCACCTGTGCACGCATATGCACACAGACGCGCTGAAGTACTAGCTCAGAACAGCACACACCCGAACATTAACAGCATTTGTATCTAGTTGTAAGCTAAGGCTGACTTCTTCCTTTTTCTTTTTCTTTTTGCTTTCTTTCTACACTGAATGCAGATTCCTTTGACAATGAGTGAAACAATAAAGCTATCTCTGACCGGGAACCAAGGCACCATCAGGAGCTGCATCACGGCCAGGACAGCAGCAGGGGCTGGGGCTCCTGTTGCAGGCTGGGGGGAGTGGGGCTGAAGTCACCCCATCTTTTGGAAACCAAGAGCAGCCAGGCTGGGACTCCCCACCACACCCCCAGCGCAACCTCATCCTTTGGCCACCGTGAAGCGCCATCTCTGTACAGGTCTCCACAGGGCTGGCAGGAATCCAAGGACTTTGAGCCGTCACTGCTGCCTCCCGGGGTGAGCATCAGCAGGAAGCTGGACCAGGAGCAGAGCCAACATTCAAACCCAAGCTCTCCCCTGTGGTGTGTGGGAATCTTAACTGGTATCCTAGCTACAAGGCTAGACACCCCGCCCCTCTGCGAACTTTTGAAAATCACTTTTATGCATGATTTTCAATTTTTTTTGCATCCAGGGTTGGGGGAGGGACACAGCACAAAGGCCACCCACTGGGAATGGGATTTGGGTGACTTAAAGTTTCTTCTTTAAACCCTCTATTTTCATAATTTTTCATAAAGGTTATGAGTTTTAGGATTGGAAAAATCCATAACTACTACTTAACATTATATTCTTCAGTGAATTCTTTTCCATTTCTGCCCAGAATATCATGCATATGAATTTCCAGTCTGAGGGGTGACGGGAGCCCGGGGAATCTCAGTATTTGGAGAACGCCTCGTTCTGCACTGAGGCGGACCGACCCAGCATAGCCGAGGGTGTCTGGGCACACGGCCCCTGCCACTGGTTCTCTGCTCTGGATCAAGCAAGGGAAGGAAGCACTGAGCATTCGCCGGGCCTCCAGGTGTGACGGTGAACTGGAGCGGGCACTGGATCGGGCAGTGGTGCCCACACAAGCTCGGTCTCAGCGCCCTTCTGGGAGAAGCCATGTCCCAGCCAGGGTGGCGCCTTCCCACTGAGGAGTGAAGCGGAGGTAAGATCTGAAGAACCAAGTTGGGAGCAGCTAGGAGAGCATCCTCCCAACCCTGGATAGGGCTGGAGGAGGAAGGAGTGAGTGGCAGGCGTGTGCCCTTGGCCTGCTCTGAGCTGCAGCGGGCAGGCCCTGGGCTGAGCCAGAACACTAGCGCTCAGCCCTCAGCTCTGACTGTCGCCTGCAGAGCGACTTAGCCGGGCTCATGGGAGCAGAGGACGCGTGGTGTTGAATGCTGTCTGGGCGCTGTTTCACCTGTGTCAGGTAGAGGAGAAGCTGTGAGAGCCATGGGAATGCTCTGGACCCACAGAGGATGAAGCTGACGTCCTGCTTGACCTGGGACCAAGCATCTTTCGTTACCAGGCAGCCATGTGCAAGATGACTGAGACAAAGGAAGTCAGAATGCCAAGAGTTAGGTGTTAATAATGCACGATGCCCGGGCAAGAGGAAGAGAGGCGCACGTGTCAACAATGGCTGCAGGAGTAGGAGTTTCGTGTCCAGCCACTGGTTCCTGGGCAGGATGACCCACGGCTGTTGCATGTCATCAACAGATCACTGATTGTATGCCCTGTGGACCAGGACAACGCCGAAATACAGCCTCCTCTTCCGGAAGCAGGGCGCAGTGGCCACTGCAGGTGTGCTCCTGCTAGGAAGGGGACTGGACACGTGAGCCATCACTAAAATGCCAGTGGACATGCAAAGCCCCGGGAAGCCATAGGAGGAAGAATGGGCTTTGCTGGCAGGAGCACTGCAGAGGCTGAGGCCAGAGCCATCTCCCAGGTCTCCCGAAGACCCTGACCAGCTGTCTGAGAGCCCCAAATAGCAGCCTTGGAGATCCACCAGATGGCCGCAGGCTGCAGTCTTGACTTTCAGTTCTGACAGTCTTGACAGCTCAATGCCACCAACCCAGCTCCTGGCCTGTCTGCATCCCGAGGCACGAAGGAGAGCATGGATGCGAGCACCCTGAGCAGGCTTCCCTGGAGCACCCTAGAGGATGGAGAAAGCTGCAGCCCCCTTCCAGCAGGTGTCTGGGCCCAGGGAAGCTCTGTGGGCTGCAAAGGACCACATGGCCACCCAGCGTGGCCACATGGAGAGGGATCCAACAGGCTAGTAGCCAAGTAAAGGCAGTTCCATTTCCTGGTATCCCTGGGGGTCCCTGAAATGGCTGTGCTTCCAGAAACGCATTGTCTGTATTGTCTAAAAAAGATCTCTGTGTTCCTGGCTGGTGTGGTGCGTCCTTAGTATTATGCATCAAGTAGGTAGCAGGTCAGGACTTCAGCTGAGATAGTTCAGGCCCCATCACAGGAGCCGTGTGGAGCTTCTAGAGCCTGCACGTGGCGCAGGCCAAGACCCAGCCGGTGAGCGGCTGAACCACTGCACAGGCAGGTGCACCTTGCAACAGGCTCTGATTACAGAGTGTGTTCTCTCAACTCAGATCACCATTCCCTGGGGGTCTGAGCCAAGTGAGGGGAGGCAAGAAGGGGGAGCCAGAGCTGCAGGAGGGACACTGAAGTATGTATTGTTGAAAATTTGTGGTCTCTAGAGCGCACCAGGACAAACTGTGATGCAATTTCCACAATGCGTGTGCTTGACTTCTTGTAAATTTCACGACCTCTTCACATTGCTGCAGAGTGGGGTGCTCCCTTTCCCCTTCTCTCACAGCAGCTTTATTACAAGGCAGTAACTTGTAACAGTAACCTGTTCTCACTCCAAAGCCCCACACACAGCCTCACCAGCAGGTGGGGAGTCAGAGGTTGGGCGAGAGAGGCTGCTCTGCCCTGGAACCCACAGCTAGCCACGGCCAGGGCAGCAGCAGGATGTCATTGTGCCCAGGCACAGTCTGGGAGTCTCTGTGCTGCACCCTGTGTGAACCAGACTTGTGTTTCAATGTATAAACATATGGGCGGCACACAGATTGAAATCCAAGTAAGCCATTGTTGCTAAGACCACACTTTGGCAAATGACAGGGCTTTCTAGGTTTGTGGAAATCCATGCCATGTAAAAACTATGCATGGGTTTCAAAAATGTTTTTGTACTGAAACTGATATTTTTTTAATGCATTTGAGAGGCAGAGAGAGAGAGAGAGAGCACTCCCATCTGTTGGTTCACTCCCCAAAAGCCAGTACACAGCCTGGACTGGGCCAGGGGCCCAGGGACTCAATCTGAGTCTCTCACACGGGTGGCAGGAACCCAAGCACTTGAGTCATCCACCAGCTGCCTCCCAGGGTGTGCATTAGCAGGAAGCTGGACACGGGAGCAGGACTAAGTCTCAAATCTGGGCACTGATGTGGAATGCAGGTGTCCCAAGCAATGTCTTAACCGCTACACCAATGCCCACGCCTACATTGATCTTTACATTTCATTTTCCCACAACTTTTTTGAAGTGCTTTCCTATTAACGAGGATGGGACATTCAGATGTCGGTTTCAGGGGCCCATGTGATGAAGTCAGATTAGGTGACAATGTAAGGTCATCCAAAGAATCTGTGCCTCCCAGGAGGCTCGTTGGTCACCCCTACCCTTTTGGGGCACTTGGAACCAAGCGATGCTTCAGGACTGCTGGGGACATCGTGCTGACCGGGAGCGGCCGTCTGACTGGCAGGTGCCTGCCCGTGCTCTGTGACAGCACAGCATTCATGGAAAACCGACTGACAACCAGCTGAGGCCAACCAGCTCCCTCTGCATCAGAGCCCCGGCCGGGACGAGGCTCCTGGCTTGGTCTACAGTCTCTGAGCAGTGTGCTGGCTGGCAGTGTGGCGCCATCATGAGAACAGGGGGAGGGGAGCGACTGGAGGCCGAGTCGGGGCGGGGATTTAAAGCTTGGCCCCTGCCAGGAAATTGGGCAGAAAGAATGACGGCTCTGGGCAGCCCAGGCAAGCAGAGGGACATTAACACCTGGTGATGGAATATCACAGAGATGCGGGACAGCAATTACGAGCGACAGCACTCCCAGAAACCCCACATCGGCAACATGGGGAAGACAGTGAGGGAACGAGCGATGCCGTGAACACCCCTGAATTCCCCACCAAACGACTCGATTAAATCAGTCTGCAGCGAGGAGGCGGAGCCGGCCGGCAGGAAGTAATGATGGCCGCGTGGGCACAACTCTTGCTGAGAGGCCACCCTGACAACGAAGCAGGCATAAATCAGCGAGTGCAGATTGCACGTCTTCGATTGTTAAGGAAGTAGCTAATGAATTTGCTAAACCTCTGGCAGTTATTTTAAGGTGAGGGGAGGTTACTGATCTCTAAAGCAAAATTAAATGAGATGAAGTGGTACAGGGAACTGTGAGCTGTTGCTGCACACCCCGGGTGGCGTGAGGAATTGTGCAGGCTGCAACGAACCTTACATGATGCAAAATGCTGGGATGGTTTTTAATGATCAGCTGCAGGCCAGAATACGGTGCCACCGTGAGGCACCTGCACCAGGCGGGGAAGCTGACAGCTACACTAAAGGCAAGTGTCAATTTTCTCAGTCTGTGTGGGTCGGCGCAGTCTGAAGGGAGGCTCCACAGAGCAAAAGAATAAAAAAAAAATCCCCAATGCTCAAAAAGACAGGAAAAGTTAACAACAGCAACTCCAGGGTCCGGTGTGCAACCCCGAACTGCATGTTCTCATTCATTGCACAGTCTTTTTTTTTTTTTTTTTTACAGGCAGAGTGGACAGTGAGAGAGAGAGAGAGACAGAGAAGAAAGGTCTTCCTTTGCTGTTGGTTCACCCTCCAATGGCTGCCGCGGCCGGCGCACCGCGCTGATCCAATGGCAGGAGCCAGGTGCTTCACCTGGTCTCCTGCAGGGCCCAAGCACTTGGGCCATCCTCCACTGCACTCCCTGGCCACAGCAGAGAGCTGGCCTGGAAGAGGGGCAACCGGGACAGAATCCGGCACCCCGACCGGGACTAGAACCCGGTGTGCGCTGGCGCCGCTAGGCGGAGGATTAGCCTATTGAGCCACAGTGCCGGCCCTGCACAGTCTTGCTAAGCAGGCAATTCAGTACCGAACGTGCAGCTGAGAAAATCCAGGCTCTGAGAAGTCAAACGCCTTTCCACAAAGAACAAACAAAACTATTGTGTGGTGAAGTGAAGCCTGGAACCCAAGTCTTCCTGGTTTTAAATCTGACACTCCTTCAAGGGGCCAGCGCTGTGGCATAGCGGGTAAAGCCACCGTCTGCAGTGCCGGCATCCTATATGGACGCCGGTTCGAGACCCGGCTGCTCTGCTTCTGACCCAGCTCTCTGCTATGGCCTGGGAAAGCAGTGGAGGATGGCCCAAGTGCTTGGGCCCCTGCACCCGTGTGGGAGACACGGAAGAGGCTCCTGGTTCCTGGCTTCCGATTAGCCCAGCTTCTGCCATTTTTGGCCATCTGGGGAGTGAACCAGCAGATGGAAGACCTCTCCCCCACCCCCGTTCTCTCTCTGTCTCTGTTCTCTCTCTGTGTAACTCTGACTTTCAAGTAAATAAAATAAATCTTTAAAAAAATTTGACACTCCTTCTACAGCATACTAGAAAGCACATACTGCATGCAGAATATATCTTACTACTTAAGAAAAAAAAAAAAAAAACAAAGTGTTTCCAAATTTGTAAATTCACACGGAAGTCATTATGTTTGAAAGGTCCCAGGCATAAATGGAGCCCAAAACAGACTGAGAGTCGTGCATGATTTAAGCGACAATAAGGGGCGGGCTTTGGGCCTCACAGTTGAGACACGCGTAGCTTACATGGGAGTACCTTGGGTTCAGTCTCCAGCTCTGGCTTTTGGCTCAGGTAACTGGGTTCCTGCCACCTCCACGAGGGACCTGAATTGGGATCCCAGCTCCTGGAATTGGTCTGACCCAGCCTGGCTGCCTGGGGCATTTGGGGAAGCAGCAGATAGGAGTTCTCCTTCCCTATCTGTTCTTAAATAAATAACAAAGAGAATAAGGCCCACTTCATACAAGTCTTCCAGGACTACCCTGCCATTGCCAGTCTTTCTGGGAACAGCTATTCCAGGCCTACGGTGTGAGGGCGCTGAGATGGGCACTTGTAGAGAAGCCGGGCAGAGGGGCTGCTAACGACATAAAGACATGGGCGGACGTTGAGACGTCCACGAAGAACTGAGCAGGGTGCCTGGCCTGCAAGCACAGAGCCAAGTCTGGAGAGGACGTGACACCGTATTAGCAGCATTCGCTCAGCGCTGGGATTCCCAGTCACCCAATTCTCTCGTCTTTGCTTTTGAATATTGTTATGACTCATGTACAACGTACAAGTATTTTAAAATTTAAAACAGTTATGAAATGAAAGCAGGCAGCGCCTGAGCTGGTAGGCAAGGTGAGCTGAGGACAGCAGGAGAGGAGAAGGTGGCAGGGCTGGGGGCGGGGCCTGGCAGGAGCAGGGAGATGGGCGGGGCCCCGGGATGCAGGGCACTCGGCCGAGGTCACATTGTGGGAGGACTTCTCAGGACAGGATGAGCCCTTAGTGGGGTTCGGGAACCCAGGGCCAGGGGAGCCAGGGGCTGGTGAGGATGCAGGCTCTGGCGAGACCTGAAGGCAGGCGGGATACCAGGTGTGGTGTGGAGGCAGAGTGGGAATGTGCGGGGCGGAGAGGCCTGCTGTGGAGGAGTGGATGGTGGTGGCCGGGATGCCGTCCGGGCCAGGAACAGGGCTGCCTGCGGCCGCCTGCACAATGCTGAGGCATCACAGCTCCCGCCTGTGGGCTGCAGGTGGATGTCGGTGGTGCATGCTGTGATGGGTTCCCACCTGCAGCCCTGGTGGCCGGAGAAGAGCGCCAGGTGGAGGCCTGCAGGTGCACAGCAGCTGTTGGCCGCCCTGCGAAGGGGGCTCTCTGTGGCCACCAGGAGACCTCAGCAGACTTCAGAGAGGGGGCACCAGAAACTGCGGGGGTCCACAGGGCTCCCCTTGCCCTTGTGGCTGTCTTGGGAACACTGGCAATCAGCCACGGCCGCTTCACCCACCCAGGCCAGAGCTGTCGCCCAGTGCAGCCACCTGGCTGCGTGCTCACTCCCAGAGCACTGGAAGCAGAGCCTGAGCCTGTGCATGGCCTTGCAGGTGGGGCTTCCGCTCCCCCAGGGAGAGGCCCGGTGCCAGCCCCAGGATGGCCTTTCCCGGTCCCTGGGCACCGGCAGCCACTGTCCTGCTCCTGGGCCTGCCATTCTCTTAACCTTCAGCTGCACAGAGACAGAGAAGACAGAGACAGGGCCTTTTATAACCAAATTATCTCTGCATTCATCTGCCATTATGCTAATGCACGGCGAAGCCGACAGATGGTAGTGGTGCTGGCGGCCAGAAGGGGGAAATTGACCTTTCCCGGATTCACCGGATTCCAGGGCAAGGTCTGTACAGGCCGAGCGAGGCCGGAGTGCGGCCAGGACACTTGCTGCTTTGGAAGGGGGTGCCGGAACGGCAGGGTGGCTCCCGCTCTCCCTGCGCCTCGCCTACCTGCACATTCTCTCGAAGAGACCGGCGTAGCCGTCGCAGTTGGTCTTCTGGGTCCGCAGGATGTCGGTGGGCTTGAAGGCTTGGCGGTCCTTCTCCTGGGCGGCCTCCATGTCGTACTCTGCAGGGGGATTTGGGGCCATGAGGACCCAGGGCCTGAGACTGGCACGGAGGCCAGAGGAGGCTCGGCTCCCCGGGGCGCTGCCTCTGCACCCTGGGCACCTGGGACCAGGGTGGGCGGAATGGAAGCAGAACCCCAGCCCGAGGCAGATCTGGGAGCTGTCACCTTCTCTGAGGTGACGAAAGGGAGGGCACTTGGTTCCCCACGCCCGTGAGGAGGGGCTGGGAGGGGAAGGACACAGCGCCACGGGTGGGGCCACTGCCCACTTGCTCCACCACATAGCCTGCAGGGTATCGGGGACACCCCTCATCTGAGGCCTTGCGTGGCCCCATGGGGTGCCTGGAGCTGCAGGTGAGGCTTGACCCCAGGTAGAGAAGCCCCTGACCAGGGCATGTAAGTGAGGGGAACAGGGCTGAGTCAGCATGGCCACTATGGGCCCAAAGGAGCCGTGTGTGTGTGCATGTGCGTGTGTGTGTGTGTGCACGCACACGGGTGTGCCTGTCGACATGGGGCTGGCAGCATTCTGGCCCAGCCAGTGTTGGAGGGATGAGCCCTGAGCCCCTGTTTTTGATCTGCCAGTGCCAGAGGAGCACATGCTGTAGACTGTGTCCCTGGTGGAGCGGGCTGGGAAGGCTTCAGGTCAGAGGACGGGAAGGGCGCCCCACGACCTGGCCCCTCCAGCGCTCATTGTGTTTGCAAGACTCGGCAAGGGGCAGCAGCTGCTTAGCAGCCTGTACTGCAGTCGGTTTGACCCAGGAAGGTCCCAGCTGTCCTGTGTGGAGCCACGGGCACCTGCACAGACGCAGGTCCCCTGCGCTGCTCTGAGAACCCTGGAGACGGGTTCCTGGGTGGGGATGACTGACTCTCTGTCCTGGGTTCCGGCCTGGGTCCTGGGTCCTGGGCTTCATGCAGCGGCCTTCCTGGATGCTAGGACTGCTCCTGGCAGGAGGTCTAAGCCCTGGACTTGGCCGTGAGCAGAGGGCCACACAGGCCTCCCCTTCCCCCAGCTGATCTTCCTGGAGACTGTTAGCACACAGTAAGGGTCACCCTGCTTTCATCAGTCTTTCTTCACTCAGCCACATGGGAGCCCCGTCCCTCCCACCTTCTGACTCCCTGGGTACACCCTGCTGATGAGATGGGAGCAGGGCCTGTGGGGGTGGGTTTGAGGGGTGCTAGGGCCTACCTATGTGGTGGCAGATCCAGATCCAGATGGCACGGACCCTTTCCAGGTCGCTGGGGGCCTCCTGCAGCAGGTCACACACCAGCTCGTCCAGCCCGCTCTTGACCGTCACCTGGGGAGCAGGAAGGGTGTACTGGCATCAGGACCAGGGAGGACTGGGGGTGCTTCACACCAGGCATTGGTGGCCAGTCCCGTTCTTTCTCCAGGCAGAGGAGCTGGAGCAGAGATACAGGGAACAGAGGCTCCAAGGGCAAAGCCATGGAGATGGACAGGGAGGGTGGTGCTGACGCTCTGAATCCTGGGCTGACAGCTCCCACAACTTTTCTGTGCACATCCTGGGGCCAGCCGGGTGGGCATGTGGGTGGCTGTGGCAGCCCTTAGTCATGACCAGTCCTAGCTCAAACAGTTTACAGATTTAACTCAGACTGTCTCAAAACTCCAATAGCCTTTTGTTGTTGTTGGCTTGGAAAAGCCAAACTTCCAATTCACATGGAATTGCAAGGGGCTGAGAATTGCCACAGTGATTCTGAGAAAAGGAGAGTAAAGGCGAGAGGCTCACACTTCAAAAGAGTCTAGGACTTGCAGAAGGATCATCTAGAGCAGTGGGACAGAACTGGGAGCCCATAAATAAACCCATACAACTGTGGCCAACTGAGGTTTGACAGGGTGCCAGGTCCCTTCGTTGAGAAAGGATGATCTTCCTAACAAATGATGCTGGAACAACTGGATTTCCACACGCAGAAGGAAGTTGGGCCTTGTTCTTATACTATATACAAAAATCAACTCAAAATGGATCAATGACTCAAACAGGAGCTGAAACTCCTGGACAGGGGTCATGTGTTTAGCTGAGCAATTAAGACACCAGATTTAAGATGTCTGGGTCCCAGATTCTGAGTAACTAGGTTCAAGTCCTAGCTCTGGCTCCCTGTTCCAGCTTCCTGCCAATGCAGACCCTGGGAGCAGCAGGTGATGACTCCAGTAGTTGAGTTATTGCCACTTACATGGGAGACCTAGACTGAGTTCCTAGCTCCTGGATCCAGCAATGCTTAGCCTCACACAGGCCACTGGGGAGTGAACCAGTGGATGGAAGCTCACTCTGTGTCTGCAAGCTCACTCTCTCTGTGTGTCTGCCTCTGAGAGAGAGAGAGAGAGAGAGAGAGAGAGACAGGAGAAAATCTTCACGACCTTGTCTTTGGTAATGGATTCTTAGATGTGATGCCAACGGCATGAAAACAAAAGAAAAAAATAGAGTGGTGTTCACTAAAATAAAAAATCCCTGTGCATGAAAGAATATTAAGGATAAGAAGGAAAAAAGACAACTTATAGAATGAGAGAAAACACTGCAAATCTTATAACTGATAAGGGTTTCATATTCAGAATATACAAATAACTTCTACAACTTAAGACAATCAATTAAAAATGGGCAAATGACATGTATAGTCATTTCTCCAGCGAGAAGATACACAAATAGCTAACAAGCCATGAAAAATGCTCAACTTCATTAGTCATGAGGGAAATACAAATCAAAACCAAAATGAGACACCACTTCATGTGCACTACGATGGACATTCAAAAATAAAATAAGAAAGTAACAGGTGTCAGCATGAATTGTCAGCATGAATGTAGAGAAACTGGAACCTTTGCACACTGACGGTGAGAATATAAAATGGTGCAGGTGCTATGGACAATACTTGGATGGCTCCTCAAAAGTTAAATGTGGAATTGCCACATGACCCAGTGAGTCCACTCCAAGGTATAGACCTCCAGTAACTGGAAACAGAGACCCAAGCAGACCCTTCCTGCCAGTGTTCGCTGCAGCAGTACTGGCCACATCTAGAGAAGGAAATAAGCTGACAGTCCATCCACATAGGGGTGAACAAGGCAAATGTGTTATATACATACAGTGGGATGCTATTCAGTGAGAAAAAAGAAAGAACTTCATTCTGTACATGCCATAGCACAGATGAACCTTGAAAACATGCTGAGTGAAATGACCCAGACATGAAAGGACATTGTCTGAGCTGGTGCTGTGGTGTAATGGGTAAAGCCGCGGCCCGCAGTGCCGGCATCCCATATGGGCAGCGGTTCAAGTTCCAGATGCTCCACTTCCGATATGGATCTCTGCTATAGCCTGGGACTGCAGTAGAAGATGGCCCAAGTCCTTAGGCCCCTGCACCCATGTGGGAGACCCGGAAGAGGTTCCTGGCTTCGGATCGGCGCAGCTCCGACAGTTGTGGCTAATTGGGGAGTGAACCAGTGGATGGAAGACCTCTCTCTCTCTGCCTCTCCTTCTGTCTATATATAACTCTTTCAAATAAATCTTTTTTAAAAAGGACTGTCTGATTTTACTGAAATGAAATGCCTAGGATAGGCAAGTCCATAGAGGCAAGTAGAGGTTACCAGGGGTTGCTTCATGGGCGTAGAGTTTCTCGGTGAGCAAGTGGCTTTGGAACAGTGGTGATGTTTGTGCAGCATCGGGACGGTAATCAGTATCAGTGAGCTTGCACTTGAAAACAACAATGGCACATTTCATGTTACACATATTTTACTACATGCTAGGGTTTGCAGGTGGTCTGTGCCCAGGGGTGTTGGAAGCTTGGTGCCTGGTGTGGTGATGTGGGAGGTGATGGACCCCTGAAGAGGTGGGTCTGGTGGGAGGTGCTTAGATCATTGGATGGCCGGCCCTCAGCAGGAAATGCTGGTCTCTGGGACTGGGTTCTCTCCTTCGAGAGCAAGGTGTTATCAAAGCTCCAGCCTGACCCCTGGATCTCTCTCACCATGGGCTCTCTCCCTCTAACATGCACTCCCGCCATAATGCCACCTGCCACTGAGCCCTCACCGGAGACCAAACAATTGGGGCTGCTTGGTTTTGGATTTTCAGCTTCCAAAAGTGTGAGCTAAGTGAGCCTCTTTTCTAAGTGCCCAGCCTCAGCTATTTCACTATAGTAACAAAACAGGCTCCTAAGAGTACATTGTAACAACAACCACAAGAACCACACATTCACACTTCTTGCAGGGACCTTGAGGAGGAGGAAGCAGGGCTGCAGGTGCTGACAAGGCAGCCCTGTCCACCTGCAGCCATTCTAGAGAAGCAAGGGCACTGCACATTCACTCCTGCAACAGGTGCCTACACCTCCCTCCCCCTCCATCTCGAGGGCACCCCGGCCTTGCTGTCCACCTGGCACTGTTCCTCCACCCATAGTGGAGCTCCAGGACCCTACCTTGTGACCACTACCAGCCACACTTGTGCCCTGACCTCCAGGAGGCCACTGGCCCCTCTCTGGAGTCCAGTCGTGCTGGCCTTGCCCAGCCCCTGGGATGGCTCCACGCCTTCTGGACTCACCCTGCCCTCCCCAACAGCACTCATTTTAGGGCTCCCACTCATAACTAAATCTGATGACCCCAGGTCAGTGTTCCCAGCGGGCATTCCTAACAGGTGTGCCAGGACCCTGGAGCCCATCACACTCCACAGACACTCACCAAGCCCAGACTTGGTCCTTAGGCTGGGGCACTGCTGTGCCCTCCTATACCACTGACTCCAGCCGCCCGGAGCCCCCGTCCTGCACCTCCCACCCACTGGCCGCTGTGTCTGTGCCCAGCGCCTTCACCCAGGATTGCTCTTTCTGGTCCTCTCTGTCTTCAGCATCCCCACCTAATCCAGGTCCTGCCTCCTCCTGCTGGGACAGCTGGAAATCCTCAGATGAAGACTCAGCCGATGTCTCAGCTGTAACCTGAGCACCTGTGCACCTGTGCACCTGTTCATCTACTTAACAAACAAGTACCCACTCTGTGGCTGCCTCAGGGCATCCTGCTGAGACTGCTTAGGGCCCCCAGTGGCTCACTCTGCCTTCACAAAAGGGCTTAGCATCCTGGCGCTCCGATGTGGTCCTCTCTGTGCTGAGGCTCCTGCCTGGCCCCATGCCTCTTGTGTCCCCGGCATTTCAGCTCTGTAGCTGCACTGCTCCAGCTGTGACTCCCCCCACTCTGCCCTGACGTGCCAAGGGCTGGAGGCAGAGTGCCTGGTGGGCAGCTCATGAGCTCCAGGGTTGAGCATGGCCATTGTCATGGTGGCTCTGGCCATTTGCCAGGGCCCTCCCCATGCTCTTCCTCCTTTTCTCCACGAGCTGGCTCTGGCCTGGTTCAGTAGCAACAATGCCCAAATGGGACACGGGAGGTCAACGCTGGACTGGCCACAGGGCTGTGTAGTCTGGGGGGTATTGGGATGCTGGGTGGCCTGGGGGATGGAAGGGCCTTTGGTCCTGGTCGGGGCCTGCTGCCTGGAGTCTTCTGTCCCCCAAGCACGTGCTGGATAAAGGCCTTCCTGGGCATCCATCCGTGTGACTCAGGATTCCTTGAAGAGGCCTGGGGAGGGGTTTTGCTGCCCTGTTTTGGGGACCTCCAAGACACCTTGGGGTGCATGTGGGGGCTCCTGATTGGAGGCGCTGGCTGTCCTACCTGTGAGGCATAGGCGTCCAGTTTCTCAAACTGCCGCAGGTCCAGAGTCATGGATTTCAGGCTGGACCGATCCCAGGGGTAGGCTGGAAACACAGGGAGGCTGGGTCAGCAGTGGGGACCTTACTTGCCTGGCCTCACCATTTCCTGAGGGCCACCCCTCCCTGGATGGGTCCCCCTTGGAGCGCCAAAGGGAACGTGAGCAGCCCCTGTGGAGCCAGCTCTGAAGACCCTGGCTTAGCCTCCGTCAAGCCATGGTTCCCAGCATTCTCGAGACAGAATCTCTTCCTTTAACTTCCTGCAGATTCCTGTGGGACATGTCCAGACCAGGCTGTTGGCCCCTGACAAGCCCAAGAAGGGCAGTGCCATGGCCAGGTGCTGGGGTGGATGTGCCACAGAGCATTCTGGGCATAGGAGGGTGTGGCAGGGCTGGGTGTCTGGGTCCCGGGGCATGAGCTGTGCTGGACCCAGCCTGCCTTCCGCTTTTGCCCTGGGAGTTAGCAGACTCCATGTCCAACTGGAGACTGGGGCTTCCAAGGAAGGCAGCAGGAGGTGGTAGTGTCCTGGTGAGCAGGGCCTGGGGTTCAGTTGGGAGCCCCTGGGGAAGGCTGTGCCTCGGGATCTCAGAAGGGGCCTCCTGCCCAGAGACTGGGCCTTGCTGAAGTCCACTCACTGGACATAGACAAGGGGAGAGAGGGAGATTCCAGGCTGACACTGACGTTGATGCTGGCCCAGGCTAGTAGCTGCCCAGGCTTCCCTCTGGGGCACAGGAACTCCCTCTGAGCTACTGCTGGCACCCAGGGTCATGCCGGCTCCCACTCAGCCCTTGCTGCCCACACTGGTGGGCACCGTGGCTCGGCCCCGGCAGACCCTGTCCTCTGTCATCCAAGTGCAGTCCAGCATGCCCTTTAGAGGTGGCAGAGGAATGCTGGTGGGCCCCGCTGCGCTCCACACACTCAAAGCCCTTCTCTCCTCACAACGTGGCTCCGGCCCCTCTGCAGCAAGGGTGAGCTGCGTGGGTGTGAACTGGATTCACACACAGGAGTGGTTTCTGCTTTGCACAGATTTGCGTACGAAGCCTCCTTTGCCCCCATTGAGAGGAATAATGGTATTTCTAAAATGGGATTGGAAACTCTGCTTCTGGTTTTCCCCTTTCTTGGTTCCATTTTACAAAATCTGGATGTTACAAACACCCACAATGAATTATGCCTCATTAACTCTACTCCCAAGCAGATTACATAAGATCCATGATTTTGTATATTTAAAACATACAGCAGCACTAAGTTATTCTAATTTTGCAACAAAACAATAGGGGGCTCTGAGCTGCATGAAGCCTTAGATGAGATCTGGGCTACAGAAGGGAAACTGAGACCCGGGGTGGGGGTGAATGAGAGCAGAAATGGGATTTGAACCTATGCTGTTGCCCAACTCAGTGTTTCTTCTTCTTCCCCTCTCTGCTTTTTTTCACTTGCCTCCTACCTTACAGACATCTGGAATTCCATTTAGAGTTAATATAATTCTGAATTCTGTTTCCCATAATGGGCTGTCTTGTTGTTGGTGGGATTTATGTGGTAGCTTAGTGATGACATCAGGTATATGAGCTTTCTCCCTCTCAACCTGTGTCCATGGCAGACATTGCTAATCAATCACAACATTCTTCACCTCTGACCAAGAGGTAGGCCCAGACTTCTAGTTCAGTATCTTAGGAAGCCACTGCCAATTGACTATAGAGATTGGCCCAGAAGAATCAACCAATACACTGTCCCAGAAATGGTTCAGGAGAAAGCCCTGGAACTTACCGTGTGCATCTTTCCCTCCAGGCTGCCGGGCTCTGGTGTTTCCATTTTTATCGCCTTGTAGACCTGCAACACCCCAAAGGTCAGAAGCAGAGACACTCCAGAAGCATCGTAAATGCAAGCACTTCCCCTCGCTTCCGATGGCACTTCTAGCCCCTCCTCTTCACTCTCCTTTTCACAGCCTCCCCACTCCCAACCCCACCCACCGCTGAATCCCCGCTGCAATGGCCACGAACTTCCTGATGGGGCACGAGGAGCCTGGGGACAGGGAGAGGATGCAGAGTCAGAATGTGCCCCGGCTCTGGCGCTTTGGATTAACCCGTGGCCCTGCCTGGATGCTGGCGCTCCTGCCCTCCTCTGCGTCCACCTGCTGCCCGAGCACAACCAAAGGTGCACTCACTCAAGGTCAGAACTGATCCCAGGTGCAAAGGGAAACAGGGGAAGGGAAGGCTGTTTGCACAGAGTTCAAACCCCAGAAAGATCAAGTGACCATCAAGTTATTCTTCAGGATGGCTGAAGGGCACCTGAACTGTGTGAGTCCAGAACCATTCAGGCAGACCAGTAACCAACAGGTATTAGGCTCCAGGGGCAAAAGGAAGGGATTTGAAACCAGGTCAGGAAGGTGTGCGTCCCCACTGGAACCAGGTGGAGGTCAGGCTGGGAGTGGGGGGTGCCAGGCAGGTGGCCTTCTGGCCCTGGAGGCCACTTAGAGCTGTGAAGGGTGCAGCTGCACCCAGGCCATCCTGAGAGCCAGAGGCCCTCTTGCATTTTGAACCTACGTTCTGCTATCACCTACATTCTCTGACAAAGCAGTGGCATTGATTGGGTGCTTACCATGCCTGGTCCGTGTTTCTATTTCCCGTCCCATTTAACCCCTCGATCATCTGAGCAGGGAGGCTTGCTAACTTTCCGCCGTCTACAGAGATCGAGTCCCAGACAGGGAGGCTGAGCCACTCGCCCAAGGTCACATGGCTGAAGCGTGACCTCATCTCATGCGGCCAGAGCCTGCTCTCTCCATGCCCTGCTGAGATTCCGACTGCTGAGAACCCTGGACCCAGGCAGCCTTAGGAGCCTCTGGCCCACCGAGTGGGTGTGTGCAGGACTGGCACCTCTGCTGGTCTGGGGCCTGCACTGCTTGTGAGGCCCTGCGTGGCTGTGAGATGGACAGCTGCAGAGAGAGGCCCGAGAAGGGGGCACAGGGGACCTGTGGTCCTGGGCCCAGGCTTCAGAGTCAAGCTCCATGCGTTCCCACTTCCTGCATGGGTGACCAGGGTTGCTCCTGGCCTCATCTTGCTCACCTCCAAGTGGGGATGATTTTCATATATACCAAAGCGTTAAAAAGTTAATGAGCATCAAGTCCTTAGCGCCATGCCCACCACTTTTTAAGCAGTCAACAAACAGTATCGGAAACCAACAGCAGCAACACTTGTGTGGTGAACCGTGCCTTTTGCTGTGTTTCCCACACCAGCTTCCAGGGCGTAGCTGTGTGTGGAGGAGAGAGTCTCCCAGGTGGGAGCTCCAGGCACCTGCCTTTCCCTGGTGTGCAAGCCCACATCACCTTCCCCCTGCCCTCTGAGGATGCCCGGGCTGGGATGTGGGCTACCAGCTGCCCTCAGTCCTCCCTGCCCACCCTCTGGCCTGAGCAGCCCTGTACGTACGTAGTTTAGCCAAGGAGAACTTCTTGAGCAGCTGGGGCATGGCGTCTCGAGGGTGGACCTCCACGGTTAGCTGTGTCCCTGCAGAGGAAGAAGAGGCGAGAGTCTCAGCGGGATGCTGCCGGGCGAGGGGGCGCTGCCCCGGGACTGAGGCTTGAGCAACAGGACACAGTTTGGTTTTGAGCTTCCTTTTCAATGTGCAAGCAATTCTTGTTTAAGAAGACCCCAAACAGCACAGCAAGATGGTGGTTTCCACGCGCAGGCAGGATGGAGTAGGCACCCTCCACCCCGTCGCAACTCAAACACTGGGCAGAATGCGTGCAGCCCGCATCTGCGGACCCTGCAGACTGGGGATGGAAGCTAGGATTTAAAGCACTGTCCAAGGGGCAGGGAGTTCACTCCCCCCCCCCCCCCCCTGGGAACCCCCTAGATCGAACCCACAGGCATTCCCTGGTGCAGAGAAACAGCACTCAAGGAAAACCCTGTCTTCTTGCTTGAAGAGTGAGAAGCAGGAATCCTAAGTGTCAGAGTGAGACAGGCAAAGCCCCTGTTGTATTTTCCCTGTTATTTCCTGACTCAATCTCTGGAAAACTCTGTCGGCAGCAGTAGCAGTAGTAGTGTCAGTTAGGAAGGCATCTGAGGCTTCCTCCTACCGCAAAAATCTATGATCTGAAAAGAGAAGCAGCAAATACTCATATTCTCTCTGTCTCTCTCTCTGTCTCTGTCCCTGTCTCTCTCTCTCTCTCTCTCCCTCCCTCTTTTCAGCTGATTGGCAGAAATAGTAGTGGGAGCCCACATGGCAGGGGTAGGGAACTGAAGACTACCTTTTTTGCTGGAAGAACAAGAAATGGGTCACAGACAGGAGGGAGCTCAAAAGAGCAGTTCCACGGAGTTGATGAACTCCTTGGTGACCTCTGAGCCATGCATGCACACCCCGAGCAGCACAGCACAGTCCTGAAGAACTAAACTACGGGGCAGACCAATGCCCAGGTCCCAGACCTGGATGGTGCATGGGCAGGGCAAATCTGCATAGCTCTGCAGAGGCTACAATCCCAACTTAGGCAAGAAGACCTGGGAACATTAACGAATTTGAAAAAAGAAGACGACCAACAGGCAGCAACCCCATGCAGACACAGAAATTGGAATTATCAGGGAAACAGTTTAAAATAACAATGATAACCATGCTTCAAAAGGTGCAGGCAAACAGATTTAAAATAAATGGGAAGATAGAAGGCACCAGCAAAGAAACAGAGAATATAGAGAAGAACCCAAAGGTGATTTAAGAACTGAAAAATGTAACAGCTTAATAAATCCTCTGAAGAGGCTTAGGAGCAGAATGACATGACAGGAAAGGGCGGGGAACTTGACTAGGTCAACAGTCAGTTTGAACAGAGCCTCAGGGATCTGTAGGACGATCCTGAAGCCAATCACTCATGCCACTATCTCAGAAGGAGGTGAGAAATAATGTGGTGCAAAGGCAAACTTACAGATTTAAGATGCTCAGTGAATCCCAAACAGGACAAACACAAGAAATTCCAAGACCAGACACGTTATAGCTGAACTATTTGAAGACGAAGAAAAAAAAATCCTGAAAGTAGCCAGTGAAAAGTGTCACATTCTGTATAGAATTGCTACAGATTTCTCATCAGAAATCAGGTCAGAAGGAAGTAGAACAACATTTTCAGAGTGCTGAAAGAAGTGGACTGTCAAAACAGAATTCCAAATCCAGTAAAATGTCATTCAAATGAGGGCAAAATGAAGGCATTCTTAGCTAAAGTAAAAATGAGAAAATTTGTTATCAACAAACTTGGTCCAAAGGAGACAAGAATGGAAGCTCATCAGACAGAAAGGAAATGGTACAAGAGGGAAACTCCAAGGACAAACAGAAATAGTAAACATCTAGGTAAATATGTTAGTCTAGGCTTCTCTTAAGTTCTTCAAAAAAGAATGAGGATAAAAAGCTGTAACATTGTCCGAAAAGATTTAATCCTAGGTAGATGTAAGACACATGACACTGCACATAAAACGGGACAGTAAGTGTTCCCATATGGAGGTAAGTTTTCTCATTTTACTTGAAAAGTTAACATTAATTACAATTAATTTGTGAAAAGCTGAGTACATACATTTTAATACATATAAAAAGATCCATTCAAATAGATATATTAAAAACAAAATAATAAATGTAATTCTGAAAGATACAAAAATAATAAAGAAAGCAGGAAAGAGGAGACATGGGAACAAACAGAAAACACTAAAGCAGAAGGCTTAAATTCAAATGTATCATTAAATGTAAACGGTCTAAACTCGCTAGTTAAAAAACAGAGATCACCAGAAGTGATAAATTAGATGGAATTATATTCTGTTTCCGAGTATATGACTTCATCATTGTGAAATCAATTGGCTAAAAGTAAAAAAAAAAAAAAAGATAAGAAAGCTAGACAGAGCAGACTTCAGAGTAAGGAAATACCAGGGATAGAGGGTCTTTAAAAAATGGTGAGAGAGTCAGTTTGGTGAGAGTCAGTTTGCCAAGAAGTCAGAAAAACTTTAAATCTTTGCACATAACAACAAAATTTGGAAACACATAAAACAAAACCACAGAACTGAAAGGAGGAATGGCCAGATCTACAATTACACAGGGAGACGTCCACACTGTTCTCTCAGTGATTGCGAGAACCAATGGGAAGAAAATCATCAAGCTTAGAGGAACCAAGCAACATCAACAACTAACAGACTTTCTGTGCTGTTTATGCAATGCTGCAAGAAGTCACCGCAGACCATGCATTCCGTTCAAGCATCCATGGAATATTTATCAAGATGGATTGTATACTGGATCATAAAAAGCTTATAAGATATGAAACCATGCCAAGTTGTTCTCTGGCCCCAATTTGATTAAACTTGAAGTGAAAAATGAGAAATTAAACTAGGAAAATCTCCAAACACATGAAAATTAAGTGACATATTTCCAAATAATCCATGGGTCAAGGAAGTCTGAAGGGAATCAGAAAATACACTCAGTGAAAAGGAAACTCAGCATCAGCGTGTTTGCCAAGAAGCCAAAGCAGTGCTTCAGGAAAATCCATTCATGAATGTTTTAGAAAGAAGAAAGGTCGAAAATCAGTAACCTAAGCTTCCACCTTAGAAGGCTGAGAAATAATAGAAAATTAAATGCAAGGCAAACAGAAGGTAGGAAATGAGAAAGAGAATAAGTTAGTGAAGTTAAAAATGATAATAATACAGAAAAAAATCAGTGAAACAGAAAACAGGCTCTTTGAAGAGATTAATAAAACCTATGATGCCCCAGTTACCGTGGACAACAATAAAAGAGATAATTCACAGATCAGAAGTCAAGACAATGACATCAGAATTGAAATGGGGGGTGTCATTACATACCTTCAAATATGTTAAAATAATGGTAAGATAATACTGCAAAATTCTTGATACACACTAATTTCACAACTTAGATGAAACAGACCAATTCCTTTACAGTCACAATATTTCATAAAAACTCATCCAAGAAGTAGATAATCTGAATATTCATAAATATATATATTTATAATTAGACTTGCAGCTTAATACCTTCCAAAAATTAAATAAAAAACAAATAAAAAAGCAAGGCCTAGATGGATTTGTTTGTAGATTCTAACATGATCTTTCAGAAAATAGAAGAATGAATAACTTCACAACTCATTTTATGGGAGTAACATGAACTTGATAACAAAATCAAATAAAGACAGCATAAGAAAAGAACACTATAATATCCCTTGCAAACATAAACACAAGCAACCTCATTGGTATATAAAATTAAGTTCAGGTCAGCACCACAGCTCACTAGGCTAATCCTCCGCCTATGGTGTCGCACACTGGGTTCTAGTCCCTGTTGGGGCGCTGGATTCTGTCCTGGTTGCTCCTCTTCCAGTCCAGCTCTCTGCTGTAGCCGGCAAGGCAGTGGAGGATGGCCCAGGTCCTTGGGCCCTGCACCCACATGGGAGACCAGGAGGAAGCACCTGACTCCTGGTTTCGGATCGGCACAGCGCACTGGCCATAGCGGCCATTTGGAGGGTGAACCAATGGAAGACCTTTCTCCCTGTCTCTCTCTCTCTCACTGTCTAACTCTGCCTGTCAAAAAAAAAAATTAAATCCAGCAATAAAGAATAAAATACTACAACCATGTGTGGTTTAATTTGAGGATAGAAAACTGGTTAAATGTTAATTTGAGGATAGAAAACTGGTTAAATGTTTAAAACTTAATTAATTAGCTTTGACATTTAAAATTGGTAACTACCATATTAAAAAGCTAAACAAGAAAAACCATAGGATAGTATCAATGGACTCAGAAAACACAGTTGACAAAATTTACCATACCATTGTTGATGAAGTCTCTCAACAGGTTAGGAATACAAGGGGATTTTCTCGATCTAAAAAACAGCATCTTCCAAAAGGTACAGCCTATAGCATATTTAACTGTGGAAATGGCAGAGGTTCTAAGATTGAGAACAAGTTTTGGAAGTCCACTCCCACTGCTCCTAAGTGCATTGTACTGCAAGCCTACCCAGTGCAAGAAGACAAGAAAAAGAGAAGCCACACAGATTGGAGAGTAAGGAGTAACAGTGCCCTTATTCACAGATGACATACCCACCTACGTAGAAAACCCCGCAGTATCTGCATGAAAAAATTCCTAAACTTGTAAGTGATTGTCACACGGTCACAGGATAGAATGCTAACACATAAAAATCAATTCTGTTTCTCTATACTGGCAATAAACAATTGGAAGTTGAACTTAAAAAAATCACTACTTTCTATATCTCCAAAAACAAATTACTTAAGTGTAAATCTAACTCACACAAAGAGTACAGGAATTGTACACTGGGAACTATAAAATATGATCAAAATTATAGTGGGCTTCAATAACACGCATGTTTATGAATTGGAAAACCCAACGTTGTCAAGTTGGCAATTCCCTCAGATGGTCTGCAGAGTTGATATACTTTCAACCAAACTCCTCCATTTAAAGGTGTTTTGTAGATACAGAGTGAATCTAAAATTTAGGTGGGAAAGCACAGGACCAACCAAACCAATGGAGA